GTCACTGTATATGCTTTCATAGTTGATGGTTAATGTATGTGTGAAAAGAAAACATTGCAGTCAGTTAGGCAGTAGCAGTAACATGGTGCTACTAGCAGGGTCAGTGGCAGCAGGACTTTTTAATATCTCCCATTTCCAAGGGAGACCAGCCCCCACAGCTTATATAACACAGGAAACAGATGTTGGCAACACACAATCATCTCTCCCTCCCTCTCTTTCTCCCTCTCTCTCCCTCTCTGCTTTTGTCCTCTTTCTTACCCCTTTTGTCCTTTACTCACCACGATATCTCCCTAAGCAAGTTACACTATATAGCTATATGTTTTCTCCATCACGCCGACACCTGTACACTGCTCGCTGTTTGGTATCAGAGACTTTTAAAGAGACAGCCTGCGTTTTCCATCAAAATTACTACGGACTAGTGTAGTGACACAGATACATATAATTAAATCCAGTTCTTTTGAGCATGGTAAACCTGCAATTTAAAGTGTAATGCAGTACAGAGTCACTTTTAGTTTCACAGTGTACGAGATATTTCTTAAAGTAGGGGTTACTGTTTCCAGTTGTGGATTATTTGTTGTGTAATCTGTCTCTTCGGCTGCACACACCACAGTGATGATGTGATTCACTTTTCCAGTACATGAAACTGCAAACTTGTGTTTTTGAGCTGTAGAAGAAATCATACGACTGTTTTTTGATGAAATACATTATTGCTAGTTTTACATTCACATTTATTAACATATTAATACAAAAAATCTGCATGCATGGGTTGAACATCATAACGCCACCTAGTGTTTCAAACCATCTTGGACCTTGTAAGGCCAATGCCTGCGTCGAGTCAACCATTTTAAACGTCTCTACATCATGACATATATATATATATATTTAAAAGGTTAACACCCTCTAATCAAAGGTGGGCACCCCCCCCCGCCACCAGCGACCACTCCTGAGTGTGAATCTAGAAAGCCGTGCTCATTTTCAAATCTATATTGAAGCTAAATCCCTAAACCACCACACCGTCTACCATTCAGAGACGTCCCCCATCCTCTCCTGCCCCCCAGCTTTCTCTCACACACACCATTTGAAGTACTGGCTGAGAGAAGGATTCTCCAGAGGGGAGAAGCCTCTACTGCATTTAATGTTTCTGTTGCAAAAGTGTCTGGTTGCTACTGGAGTGGTTGCTAATAGCTGAGCAACCTAAATAACTTGTTATGTTATATGTTCTTATGTGCGTAGGGGGGTAGGTTTGTCTAGGCTCCGCCTCCCAGCGTTGCTTTCCAGATTTCAGGCAAAGCTTTGGGGTGAAGTTAAAGTTTTAGTACATGGAGCACAAACGAGCACAGAAAACAGTGCTCATCTCAGAGGAGTGAGACCTAATGGGATCACACAATAATGAAAAATAATACCAAAGAAGATCACAAGCATGGTGTGAGGTTAACTCCTGGACTCTTCCTTGTGTTCCACCTGTTTTAAGATTCCCTCTTGTGTTAGTTTTAAAATCAGTATCAAACTTCAACACCTCAGAGAACTTAAAACACATCTCTGACCTCGAATCCTTTTTGTGCCAATCGATTTTCAGACATGCTGCCTTTTTCTCAACTTTGTGAATTTGTCAGAAAATGAAAAGTCCATTTCAGCTCCTCTTGCTTCTAAGCCCAGATGATGCCTGTTGCCTAGGCGACTGCTATAACCCAGGTGACAGACCCTTCCTGTGAGCAGCGCCCTGTGATTGGCCTATAGCTATGTGTATGCATGTGTGTGTGTGCATGTGTGTGTGCGTTTTGGGGGGTTGGGGGGTTGTCCACAGATTGAGTGTTTTGATTGGCTGGCTTGGTTGGCAGAGGCAGGGGCCCCAGCAGACAGAGATTCTGAACAGAGCATTGATTTAATCGGCTGGCAAGCAGGCAGACAGTGGGCGCACGCATGCACACACACACGCACACATTTATAGAAACTGGCTGGCGGGCTGGAGGTGCAAGGGGAAATTTGGCCCAGTGGGGGTCACCTCTGTGGGAGCGATTGTATGTGTGTGTAATATCATGCTCTCCAGGAGAGGCGTTGCTGGCAGTAATAGAAGCACTCCCAGGAGCAGACCACGCTGGGTAATATCACACTCCCTAGGGAACTCGCCACACCCCCCTCACACACACACACACACACACACACACACACACACACGCACTCATATGGCCTGTGTTCTTACTAAGATCCAGACAGGGGGGGCACAAATCAACTTCTTGCATGCTTATAAGGTCAGGTGATGGGCTGGAGCACTTCATGACTGGACATCCTGGACATCAGGGGACACACTTATAGTCCTATTCAGAGAGACTCTTAATGGTTATCTTCATGAGAAATTATACAAACTGAATTGTTATTTTTATACTAAGGAAACTATATACTGTAAATGAATTAAGTTCATTTAATCAGATTCTTGAAGCATTTAATAGTTTGTCTTGGAGCAGATCAGACGTCAATGCTATTTAATATTCCTTCTTTGACAGTTTATAAAACTTATTAAAATATATTCATCACTTTCTTCTAACCCTCTTGAATTCTGTGTCTCAATTTGGGTCACTGTCTTAAATTGCAACAAAGACAATTTCAGCACACTGGTTCATATGAGCCACTGCTGCTGCTTTCTTGTAATGTAGTTTCAATGGTGTTTCTTTTGGTACTGCGGTTTAAATTCCTCAGGGGTCCCAGTAAGTCATCCCTATTTATTTACACTAACCATCAAACGTTCTAGAACACCGTCATTTCCATTTGTTACTGAAATTACATAATAAAATGTATCACTGTTTGCAAAATTGCAGCAGAGAACAAATCAATTATAGAGATTTCCTGAATTTAATCAAAAAAATGTATTAATTCAGATGTAAAACATACTTTCCCACAAATGTGTTGCACTTTTAGTTTGCTTTGAGGCTATATGGTGGAGATTGAGCTGCTCTTCATAATGTGAAGAGACCTTTTTCTCATTTTTTCTCTTACTTGGCTTTTTCTTGGTGCTCTGATTACAATACACTACTTCCTGTCATGCAGTTCTGACTTAAAATCTCAGAGAGAGCAGCGACAGTTTGTCCCTGTCCTGTCTTTGTACAGAGGGTTTTTAAGTCATCAACAAAAGTTGTGATGCTCGTAGGAACAATTTTTAACATTCAAGGCTTAATTTGCTGCAGGTTAACCAATTAGTTCATCGCTGGAAAAGGCCTGTTTATATCTAGAGTTTTTAGTGACATAAACCTTTTTTTGACCTGTTTTTGCTGCTGACCTTTGTATCATCTAAGTGGATTAACATGTATGATATGGATATTAGCTCATTATAGGCTTTTGTAGAAGAATTGATCAGATTTAGGATAAATCCCTGATTGGCTGTCTCCTCATAACACACACAATCAATCATGTGTTAACTTTCTTACTGTTGCACTGTGCTGTAAGTTGGATAAAGTTGCTTTTCATATCTTAATTTTCACTTTTTATGATGAGGTTGGCACTTTCACACACTCTTTACTGTTTTCAGGCATGCACTGAGGTCTGGACATTTTGCACGTGAGAACACAAATGTCTTAGTTTCCAGATATTTTGCAAAACTTTTTATTTGCCAGGCCCAGAAAAGAATACAAATATATCAGGATGAAAAAGAGGTGACATGCACATAGAACAAGGGCAGGGCTGATGCAAAAATTCCCAAATTATATGCAGGGACGGCAACAGTCAGATAATCTCCTGCTGTGTTCCTCGTATGTGAAAGGTAAAGTCTAGAAGATGTAATGATGAACAAGATAGGAAGGCAAATTAACACATAGAAAAATGTTTTAGGTAGAAAGTTCCTTCAGAGAACACAGCACACAGTAAAGTCTGTTTTATGTTATTTTTAAAAACCTGTAGTTATATGTATTTTTGGGTGAAATGACCCTTTAAGCCAAAATATTGATAACACTGCAGCGTGCTTCTCTCACCCACTTTAACACGAAGGGCTCCTCAGGTTTGAGAATTTGTCTCCAATTAATGCTCACATTCACGTCACTGGCACATCTGACATTTCCCTCTTAATGGATTCCTTGCAGTATTTGCAGAAATCACACGCCTGCAGTCCTGACATCTCCCCACCCTGTAGTCTGTACCTGGAACGTATCACAGAGTACTACAAAGTGAGCTGAACACGAGGCAGAGCGGCTTTAATTTTATATTTACTTCTTTCTCTCTCTTTCCCCTCTCTCCCTGCCATTCTCCGCTCTCTGCCGTACGCAAACTCCACACATTTTACCACATTCAGATGACAAGGCAGATGAAAGAGTGGAGAGGGCTGTGAGAGATAGAGGCAATGAGTGTATTTTCGTGGCGGCCCGTCTGAGATCCCTCCCCTCTCTCTGTAATCTATACGCTGGTTTCACTCAGATTGGGAGCTGACAGCTTCATTAGGTGAGGAGGAAGCTGCTTTGATCTAAAAATACACGCCGTCGACGCCTCTGGAGTGGAAAAAGTTAAAGAGTTTCCCTGTGTCTTAATCCAAAAAAAAGATGATTTTTTTCTGGGGAAAGGAGGAGGATTGGAAAATATTGAGTGAAGTGGCGTTGAGGATTGAAGATGCATTAATTCTCAGATTCTCGTTATCTTCCTAGGGAATAAATGTTTGTGTGGATGATGTTTTTATTTTTGGAGGAGGGTTGTTTTTCTTTTACTTGTGAAGGAGGCAGAAACCCATCAGTGCCCAAAATGTCATTTTTTCTTCAGGTCTTTATCTCAGTGGGAATGTGGCGTTGCTGTGTGTACAGGTGGTTTGGTAAATAAGAGTACGGCTCATGGTCTGTACTTTGAGCTCGTGTTCAGGGCTTTGGACTTGTTGGCTCAGGTCAGTGTGCTGTGCTGTGTTTGTGATGTGCTTTGAGCGGCCCGATAGCACTTTCAATAACATTTCTCTCATCTGTCTCGCTGTGCCCTCTTCACCCCCTCCCTTGCTTTCTACCTCCTTTCTTCCGTCCTTTCTTTCTTCCTTGCAGAGCATAGGCAAAGGCTCCCTGTGGTCCATAGATCCGGAGTATAGGCACAACCTGATCCAGGCGCTGAAGAAGACACCGTACCATCCCTACTCGCCCGGCCTGGCCACCCCCTCCACCTCTCCACCCACCCTGCCTCCTACATTTCACCACAGGTAAGAGGGATGATCCGATTGGTTGATTGATTGATGGGTTTATGCGACATATGTGACTAAGCTAATTTATTGCTTAATCACCTTTGCTTCAGTGGACTGGATAATTTAGCCTTGTTAATTAATAAACCCATTCACTGATAGAGACGCGGGGTAAAGATTTACTCCCACGACCATATACGCGAAGTTATGCGCTCTCCAAGTGTTGTAGTTGCATTCTGTTAGACTGACGTCTGAAAGCAGGGGATGAAGTTTCTTTAACTCTTATTTATTTTTTAAAACTAAACTTTCCCACAAGCTGAGCAGAACAGTGAACGTTATGTGGCAGTTTTAAGATATTGATTATGCTAATGGTCAAACCTCACAGTCACCCCCTGATGAACAGGTGACAGGTTGAAACGAGCAATTTCCAACAAGTTTGTGCAGTCGGGGGAGTTTGATGAATATATATATATATATATATATTGTTTTATGTTGATGTGTTCAACGTAATCAAATCAAATTCATTCAGGACTTAACTTCCAGATTTCCCTGCCAATTAACCATTTCCTCATGTTTTGTACACAACAGTCAATCAAATACAAAGTACATATCAGTGTGTACATATTGGTTGCTTTTGGCTCTGAGGCAGGAATAAAACTTATACACGCCTCCACCTCTCTCTCTCTCTCCACCCACCTGCCCACAGCGTTATGAAGCTGACCCGCCCCATCCTTCCCTCAAATCTTCTTTCTTTCATGCAACAACATACTCCCGTCCCTCCTCCTATCTTCCTCCCCCTCGGGCGCATCACATGTAAAAAGCGCTCGTTGCCTTTCTTCTTTTTTTTTCCTCCACATGTTCGCTCCCTCACCTTCTCCCCAGCCTATCTTGTCCACCCCCCTGTTTTGCCTTTCCTCCTGCTCCTCTCACTCTCTTGTCTCCTCTTTTAATATCTCACACACCCTCTCGCTCGTTCTCGGGCATACATTACAATTGGTGGTGCACCCACCACTCCGTCATCTTTATTTACCCCCGCTGTGATTTATTCCCACTCTCTCTCTTTCTGCTCTCTTTTCACTCTCTCTCCACCACTTTATCATTCAATTAGATCCTCTTTTGTCTACGTTCTCTTCTTTCTCCGCTCTGCACACACATTCTCTCACACACACAAGCCCCTGCACACCACAGCAGCATCCACCTGTGTTGTTTCCCCCACACACTCCTCTCCTCTCCTGACCTCTCCTCCACCCTGCAGCCTCTTCCTTTTTCTAACTTCTTGCTTTCCGACTCTTTTGCACATCCCTGTGGATAAGTTAGCGAGAGGTACCATTAGTCGTCTTTTTTTTCCTGCCCTTTCTTCTGCTCAGTCTCTTTCTCTCACGTGGGCCCTCTCTCTCTCTCTCCTCTCTCCATCTCTATGAATACCCCAAGACCACCACCTCCCCCTCCACCCTGTTCCCCAGTTGATCTGGGCAGGCTGGCTTGCAGAGCCAGCGGACTGTGTAAGACAGAATAATTGGTTCACCATAAAATGTAAAAGTGTCATTTTGAACAATGAGGTATGGGGAAGTGGAACAAATTGGGGGGATGTGGGGGGCGGCGGGGAGGCGGGGTGTGGTGAGGAGAGTGTGTGGTGGGTGAGGAGCGAGGGGGGTAGAAGAGGTTGTTCATTTGCATTGTGACACAGTGGGCAAACGAGAGAGTGGGTGAGGAATTCTTGGTGAGAGCGGAGCTGAGGGCCACCTGAAGAACGTGTCGGGGTGTTCTTACCTTCCCAGCAGCCATTCATTTCCCATATTAGAGTAACTAACAATTATTTTCTTTGTCAGCTGACCAATGATTTCTTTTTTGATTTATCGATTAATTATTTGGTCGAGAAAAAAAGTGCATCAAAGTGTCCTGAGAGTCTCAGGGTGACATCTTCAAATTTCTTAAAAAAGGGAAAATCAGCAAAGCCTCACAGTGAAGAAGCTTCAGCCTGAGAATGGTGGCCATTATTTGTTTATCAGAATCAGGGCAGTTGGAATGGAAAATTTGATGTCAGATGTCAGGGCTCCCTTAAATCTTTGAAAGCTAAATCGTTCAGTAACAGCTTAATTTTTTCTACACATAAAAACACCGATGAGCGAATAGCAAGCATCTTTGATGTCTCAGCGGGTAGACCTTTTTATATCGTATTTAAATGAATGGAAACCAGTGGCTGCATGGAAGGGAGAAAATCAATGTAAGAATTTATGATGTGCTTCAGAAACTGGCCAGCATCGATGTAAAGCACATGCACTGCATTTACAGTATGCACAATTTGTTGCTAATGGGCTTGAACATGAAACCACTTGTATGGTCCTTGCTGCTGGATCCAGCTCCTAGACTTTCCAGAGATGTCAGATATGTTTGTTTATATCAGTAAAATTGGTTTAAGTTCATCCACAAAATATCTGTCATTCATTGACAACACCAGTGATAATACATTAATGCTGGAACAGGCTGGCACAGATCGTGATATGATCCTATTGAGAGAATGTGACTTCTAATCCCACATCCATACTGCTAAGTTTTTGTTTGAAAATTGTGCTGTCGCTGTTTTAGTTTGTAACTCTGGGTCAGCATTTTGGTCTGAACGGGCAGCTGATGAAGACAGGTTGAAAGGTTCAGGGATTATGTATTTGTTTCTTTCAATTATTTCTTTATTAATTTTCATTTTACATTTCAGACTGCATTTCAGTGGTCTGGGCAGGTGGTGGTTCATAAAAGGTTTTCCTCTGAAAAGCCTCCTTATTTTTTAGGGTGTACAGGTGCACTGTTCCAGTTGTAATTTTTGTTCAGGATTAGTTGGAATAGGTTGAATGTTGGGGGTCTTTGTTGGGTCCAGTTTCCTTTCAACGTGTCTTGAAACTCACTAAGTCCAATCAATACAGCACAATATCTCTTTCAAGAGCTCTCACTCTCAAGAATATTATGGTACCAAGTGTAATGACTGCAAATGGTTGCACAGTGTGTCTATTATGATAAGGTCAAGGACTGTCTCAAGCAGTTCTACACAACTGAGAAGTGGAGGATGAACAAAGAGAAGATACAGAGAGAGGAAGTGGCAGAATGAAGAGATGGGGAAAATAAGATGGAGAGAAAGGGAGGAGGGGTGCAGAGCAATGATGCTTCTTTGTCCTCTACTCTTTGTCGCTTACACCTCTTGGTTTTTCATGGACCATAATAACTCACGCCGCACCAGCCGACCCCCACCTGCAGCTCGCTCCAGTGTGTGCGTCCGTATGTGCGTCTTTATCTGCACGTGCAACTCAGCAGTTAACATGTTTCAATCCAACTCTGTGTGTGGATGTATGTGTCTTATGCATGGCAAGTGTGTGTGTGTGTTTGTGTGCGTGCATGCGTGCATGTTTCTGTGTGCGAGTGTGCCTGTGCGTGTGCCTGTGTAAGGGAGAGCGAGAGAGGGAGCACGCCTGGTAGGAGGTCAGCTCCATGGTGCATTCCTTCACACCCCATCAGCATCTGGATGGGAGGAGTAAGGGAGGGAAGAATGGATGGAAGGAGGAAAGGGTGTCTCAATGGGGTTTGGGAGAAGCTCTCTCACTCTCTATTCCTCTCTTTCTTTCTTTCTTTCCCTTTCACCCTCCCTCTCCTCTCCCTTGGAGAAAAAAAGATGAGTAGAGATGCTGAGGGGGGCGTCTGCCTCGGGTTTAGCCCCTCGCCCACTACATTAAATGTACAGGGTTGCCTTGGCAACGGGAACGCCGCCATGGCAACACATGTAGTATAAGGCAGGTGCTGTCGCACTGTGAAGCCATTTGTTGCAAGAGAGAGAGAGAGAGAGGGAGAGAGAGAGAG